ACAGGACCACCTGCCCATGGGTGGCATGACCCACAGTGGGCTGGGCCCTTCCACATGGCTCAACAATCAGGAAAATGCCCCACAGACATGGCCACAGGCCAGTCTAAAGAAGAAAGTTCCTCAATAGAGGCTCCCTCTACCCAGACGTATCAAACTGACAACTAAGGTTATCCAGCACAGTTTCTTTAAAACTTTTTTACATTTATTTATTATTTATTTATTATTCATATTTATTTCTTATTTATTAATTATTATTTATTTATTTATTATTTATTATTTATTTATTTATTGTATTTGTGTGTGCATGCCCTCACACAAGTGTGCCACAGTGTATATGTGGAGGTCAGAGGACATCGTGAACGAGAAAGTTCTCTCTTTCCACCATGTGGGTCCTGGGGATTGAACTCAGGTCTCAGACTTGGCAGCTAGTGTTTTACCCACTGAACCAGCTTGCCAGTCCTTACATTGCCTCTTGTTGGGTATTTTGTCACAGCAATGAGAAGAGTGCCTAAAATCAAGACTAACTGTTCTTGGTCTTTTATGAAAATGTCTGTCTAAGAAGAGTTAGAATGTAGCCCTAGGTTAGAGTCCAGTGCTATGTTTTGGGGAAGAAGAAAAAGGAGACATGGTCCCTGGGACCAATACCCCTTCAGCCTGTAGCCTTCCTGTTCTGTTCCATATTCTCTCCATATGTAACTCCTTGCATCCCTGAACACCCCAAGATGGAGCTTCAAGACAATACTGCTGACCATTGAGTAAGCTTGATTCCTTCTCACAAGATTTTGCCTTCTGAATATTGATTGGCCTTGGCCTTGGCATAGTAGACAGTCAGACCAGAATAGCAGACTTTTTTTTTTTTTTTTTTTTTTTTTTTTTTTTTTTCCTAAGTCTCTGCTGTTCCTGTTGTTTCTTATCTCTATCTCTTTAGTATCCCTCTTTTCTTGTGTGTGTGTGTGTGTGTGTGTGTGTGTGTGTGTGTGTGTGTGTGTGTGTGTGTGTGATACTAGAGATTGAACCTAGGGCCTGCATATGCTAGACAAGAGCCTTACTACTTAGCCCCTCACTGTGGATTCTAGGGAAGCACTCTATCACTGAGTCATACCCCCAGCCCCTTACTGGTGAATTCTAAGTAGATGTTCTACCACTGAGACACACCCCTGCCCCTTACTGGGTGATTCTAGGCAGGGGCTCTACCACTGAGCCACACCCCAGCCCCTCACTGGGGGATTCTAGGCAGGGGCTCTACCACTGAGCCACCCTCCCCGCCCCTCTCACTGGGGGATTCTAGGCAGGGGCTCTACCACTGAGCCACCCTCCCCGCCCCTCTCACTGGGGGATTCTAGGCAGGGGCTCTACCACTGAGCCACCCTCCCCGCCCCTCTCACTGGGGGATTCTAGGCAGGGGCTCTACCACTGAGCCACCCTCCCCGCCCCTCTCACTGGGGGATTCTAGGCAGGGGCTCTACCACTGAGCCACCCTCCCCGCCCCTCTCACTGGGGGATTCTAGGCAGGGGCTCTACCACTGAGCCACACCCCAGCCCCTCACTGGGGGATTCTAGGCAGGTGCTCTACCACTGAGTCCTTCACTGGGGATTCAGTGCAAGCACTTTACCACAGAAGTACATCCTCTGCTTTCTTTACTTTTTGTTTTGAGATAAGGTCTTACTAAATTGTCAAAGGCTGATCTTGAACTTGCCTCGGTCTCCCAAGTAGCTGGGATTGCAGGCTTGTACCAACCAGACCTGGCTTGTTTTGCTTTTCTGAGTCAGGGTTGTCACTATTACAGTCCAGGCTGGCCTCAAAGTGAAAAATCTCTTTCCTCAGCTTCCCAAGCGCTGGAGTTAGGACGTGTGCCACCATGCCCAGTTCTCTTTTTAGTATCCCATGTTTCTCTTTGTCATCTCTCCCTATGTCTCTTCATGCCCATTCAGGCTCTGAACTGAATGATTTGAACACTTTGATCTACCTGTGGGGATTAAGGAACCAATGCTCCATGTCAGGATTATCTATAGACCTCAGCCGAGTCAAGTTCATGCTTTGCAGAGCATGTCCCAACTTCTGATGGTTTTGGGGAGACTCCTTTCAGGATAGGGCTTCCAAAGTTACTGCTGCCTATGGCTAGGTTCCAGCCATACTATACCTGCAGCTTGGGAGGAAAGCTGTTGTCAGCAGGGTGTCAAGTTGTGATGCTTTATGCCTGAGAACGTATCACTACCCTAAAGGGAAGATTGCAGAGCAAAAGAATGGGCTTGTGGTGTTGGTGATGGGGGGTGGAGTCGGGGAGACTGTCTTCCTATGTCTCACTGTTTCCATGCATGGTCCTTCTCTTTCTCTGCTGTTTTATTGTTGCTGCTTCCAGTACTAAGGATTGAACCTAGAGCTTTGTACATGCTAGGCAGGTGCTCTACCACTGAACCACACCCCAGCCCCTCACTGGGGGATTCTAGGCAGGTGCTCTACCACTGAGCCACACCCCAGCCCCTCACTGGGGGATTCTAGGCAGGTGCTCTACCACTGAACCACACCCCAGCCCCTCACTGGGGGATTCTAGGCAGGGGCTCTACCATTGAGTCATACCCTAGCCCCTTACTGATACATTCTAGGCAAATGCTCTATCACTGAGCCAAATCCCAACCCTTTCTACTTTTTGAGATAAGATCTTGGTGAGTTGTCTGGGCTGGCTTTTGATTCACTTTGTAGCCAGGTTGACTTTGAATTATTGATCCTCTTGCCTAAAGCTCTGGAGTAGCTGGGATTACAGGGCTGTGTCACCAGGTCTGGCTTTTTCCTCTGCTCTTTTCTCCTTTACCCCTCCCTTTTTTGAATCTGATGGAGCCATCCCTTCCCCTCCCCTCCCCTG